GCTGGCCGCGCTGCTCGTCGGTCGGCTGCTAACCGGGCTGGCGGCCGGCTGCGCCACACTCGTCGCGTCGCCCTACACGGCCGAGGTGGCCGAGGCGCGCGTGCGCGGCCCAATGGGCGCGATGATCGGACTGCAGCTGGCACTCGGCATCCTGGTGTCGTACACGGCCGGCAAGTACGTCGCCTGGCGGTGGCTGGCGGTGGCATCGGGCGCCGTTTCGGTCGCCTGGCTGCTCATGGTGGTCGCCATCTGCGAGTCGCCACTGTGGCTGCTGCAGCGCAGCCAGCAGAGTCAGGCTCGAACCACGCTCGGCTGGCTGCGCGGCGGCCGCAGCGACGCCGACGTCGACACCGAGCTGGAGACGCTGGACGACCAGCAGCAGGCGCTGCGCTCGCAGCGCGGCGCGCTGCGCGATCTGGCGCGGCCCGAGCACCGACGCCCGCTGGCCGCCGTCCTGCTGACGCTCAGCCTGCAGCAGGCGTGCGGCATCAACGCCGTCACCTCCTACGCCACAGAAATCTTCCAGGAGTCTGGCAGCAGCGTCGAGTCGAACACGGCCGCGATCCTGGTGGGGCTGACGCAGGTGATCTGCACGGTGGCCGGTGTGGCGGCCGTGCACCGCTTCGACCGGCGGTCGCTGTTGCTGACCTCGGCCGTGCTGATGGCGCTGTCGCTGCTCGCGCTCGGCGCCTATTTTCAGCTGCAGGCGAGTCGGCCGGACGTGTCGGCTATCGGCTGGCTGCCACTTGCCTCCATTGTCGCCTTCATCATCGCCTTTTCCATCGGGCTCGGATCCATCCCGTACCTGCTCATGGGTGAGTGAGTGCTAGCTAGCTGGCTGGCTGGCTGGCTGGCTGGCTGGCTGGCTGGCTGGCTGGCTGGCTTGCTGGCTTGCTGGCTGGCTCGCTGGCTGGCTGGCTGGCTCGCTCGCTGGCTGGCTGGCTGGCTGGCTGGCTGGCTGGCTGGCTGGCTGGCTGGCTGGCTGGCTGGCTGGCTGGCTTGCTGGCTTGCTGGTTGGCGGCGGTGGAGCACGCTGGGCTGGTGCTAAGCACCACCGTGCACAGCCGCGAGCCTGCACGCCGGCCTTTTGACGGTTATAAACGTGTATGGGTATCCGTGTGTAGACTTGCTTCAGTTTCTCAAGTGGGCGAAACGAAGAATTAGGCGATTCTGGCATGTCAATTGGACATAGCAGATTGTATTGCAAACCCGACCACAAAGAAAATGTCATCCGCGCAGTCAGCAGCAGTTAGAACTTACCGCAGTATCTATTTTTTATTTGAATACTTCATTTCTCTCTCTATCCCTTTGACGCTCTCCGCGTACCACCGTCCCTTGCTGTTCACGCACCATCGTAGACGTGCATGGCTTATCTGACATCACCAGCCTTCTTGTTGTCCACAGGTGAGGTGTTCTCGGCGGAGATTCGGGATGCGGCCAGCGGCGTAGCCGTCTTCTGTAACTGGACCTGCGCCGTGCTCGTAACGCTGACGTTCGCACCGCTCGAACACGCCATCACGACCGCCGGCGTGTTCTGGATGTACGCCATCATCTGCCTGTTTGGCGCGGTCGCCATGCACTTCGTCGTGATCGAGACGCGCGGCAGGACGTTGGATGAGATCCAACAGCAGATGCTCGGTTGACACACTGTCAGCCAGCAACCTAGCACACCGGAGCTAGCGGCACTGAGCCGGCCAGTTTGGCGTGGTACAGGTCAGCGACCCCTTCAGGTCAGAGGCACTCTCAGGTGATGCGGCGACGAATCAAGAGTCTCGACGGGCAGCGACATCCCTGGGCAGATCAAGCCGCTGCCGATGGCCACAGAGTGCCTCTCAGCCGTAATGTTCTGGGCGGGCTAGCTCGAACACCACGTGATCAGTCACATTCACACGAATCGCGGGAGCATTCAAAACTGCTGGTGCTCCGAGAAGGTGTTCAGAGTGATGGTGCCCTGAGAAGGCGTCCAAAACTGATGGTACTCTGAGAAGGTGCCGCTCACTGTATTCACAGCGGAAGTACAGTAAAGTGCTGTCGCGAGACCTGTGACTTGCGCGCCGAGAATGTTGATGTGATTGTGTGATGTGCCTGCATAGCGGTTGGCCCGATTCATCCACTAGGTTCTCTAACGGTCGTTCTGGTAAAACGCGAGCTTTCTACTGCTGGCCGCGCCTCTGGCAGCTCCCCGTGGTGGTTGAACCTGGGTTCGTGACACCAGCTGGGGGTCAGGGGGGGGGGGGGGGGGGGTAGCGGTCCCAGGCTGCAGGAAACGAACTGGTCTTGCGAACGCGATATGGTGGCACCAGCCACTGTCCGAAAGCATGAAGCACTTTGCGGATCGAGTTTTAGGAACCCGTTCCTGTCCGTTCCGGTCCTGTACAATCCAATCCTTTCGTCAATCAGGCTGTTTCAAATTTCCTTGTACAACCCGGTCCAATTCGCCTCAACAAAGGTATGCAACTAGAACATGTGTTCAAGCTTTCTCTTCGCCGTAATAACCATACCAATATGGCACATTTCGGCGTACCTCATTTTCCCATTAAACAAGTTTCACATGAGCATTCTGACCGACTGCGAAAAAACAGCAATGATAGCAGTCAAAAAAGCAGCAGTGAAAATTTGGAGTATTCAGACCGGTTGCACAATCAGCCACCACTTACTTAAACTTGCTATTAACATAGTTTGCATGGAAGTACGTCTTAGCATACACATGACACACACAGCTGACATCCTGAATCCGGCTGTCATTTCGATGGTCCCATCCTAGGTTCCTAAACATACTATGGACTTTGTGGAAGGAAATATGCATGTCTGGATTGAAGGGGATAGCACCAAAACAGATAGTATCTACCACGGGTGCCGATTTGTATTATTTTGTGTGGGCCACTGCCCTCCTCCCAATGTTCAATTTTGGGCCGCAACGGCGAGTTTGCCCCCCCCCCCCCAGAAGGGGGGGGGGCAAGAAGGCTTGACCCTAGAAGGCAAGGAGGCAAGAAGGCTTGACCCTAGAAGGCTCCTACCAATGATTTCACAAGTAAACGAACCAAAGAAAATGAAAACTGCGATATCATGTCCAGTTCAGTGCACGTGACTGAGTTAGTCCCGCTTTTAAAGCTCCCGGATCGTTCCGTCTTTACTTTAGTTTTTCTTCTGTTCTTTTTCCCTATATGCCGCATGTTTTTGACTACACCATTTATAGCTATGGTCGACTATAGCCTAGTTGTGTGCTGTTGTAGGAGTGTTGTGGCATTATTCAGCGATGTTTAAGTTCTATAGACCGCAGCAAATTGTGTTATTTTTCTACGACGTCTCATCGGGTAATCAAAATAGATCGTTAATAAGTTATTAGCCGACTTCACTCGGAGAAACTCCTGCAGCGCGTTGACCTTCATTTCGACGTGAATATTTGATGGAACAGTTGCAAGAACCTGACGACCGACACCAACTGACTGAATCCTTAGCGGTAGTCGTCCGACCACGACCGCCAGCACAAGTCGTGTCGAGCATGCCTAACGGGAGTGATTTACTTGAACCTCGACTTTCGGCAGTCAGCGGGGATTTCCATGGCAGACATAATAAGTTGTGCAAATCAACTTACACTCTTTGCACCTGAAGTCATACACGTCCAACAACGTCTGAAGCCACATAACATGGACTGTACGTCGATTACCGAAACCGGGTTTCGACGAGCGACGCAAACAAAATTATGGTGATGCCCAACGACGACATCTTTCGCCGAAACGGAGCAAGCAAATTAGTCAGACCTGACTTGTGTTTTTTATATTCTGTTGGCGGGGCTCCAACTCCATAACGTCACTGAAATGAAATCGGGTCATATCCGGGAGGTAACCCGTTTTTTGGTGCATTTGGCGCTAGTTTCTTCCCGCTCGTCATCACCAACGCTTTTTTGCGAAACTGCACTTCTATGGTAGAGTGCTGACGACCACGACACGCGAAAGATTCGTGATCAGATTATACTCCAGGGTCAGGTCTGGGATTAAGGGCCCATGTCCCAAGCAAAGACAGGGCCGAGATCCGCGATTCACATTGGTAGGGGCTCTTAAGTCAGTGAGTGGCTCCTGTGTCAGTCAAGGGACCACAGTGCCTAAAAAGGGTCCGATAGTGATAAGGGGCTCAGAGTCGGCCTGCGGCAGCGTTAGAGTGGCCCGCAGAGGAGCCAAAGGGTACCTCGGAACCGATGATCAAGTGCCCGATTGGAGGGCAAGGCAGCGCCAAACCATCAAATGGAAGCTAGAGGGCCTCTTGCATCGATTGGAGACACTATTGGACAATGGGGGTCTCTCTTTGGTCATAGACCACCAACACCGAACAGTCTGCTACGTGTCGGTCTGAGCTCTGGGGGCCCATTTCCCAAGCAGGGACGAGGTCGGACCCCGTGATCTGCACCACTCGAGACCCTTGAAGCAATGAGGACATCTTTGCTGGTCAGAGACCCGCAGTGCCTAATAGAGGGCCCAACGTTTGCAAGGGGACTCGTGTCGGCCAGGGCAACATCTGTTGGAAAGGGACAGCGACAGGACCCCGAAAGCCAGGGGCCTCTTGCGTTGCTCGAGGCGCTCTGACAGTGAAAGTGGGGATGAGAGTCAACGATGCGAGTCCACGACACGATAATGCAAGGCCCTTTGTCAGACAGGCCCCCGGCACCGAACGGAGGGCTCTCCATCTCATTTCAACCAGGGGCCCGTTATGCCGAACTGTAGTCTCTATGCCAATTATTGGACACCTGCGAGGATAAGGGCCCTTCTGCATCATTGAGGGCCCCTGCATCTATTTGGGAACAAATGGCCGGGCCAGGCGGCCTCCGGCGTCAGGTAGGTGACCAATGCATGATGCATCCCTCTTAGGGCCTCGGTATCAGCCTGCGCAGCCCGCCCCTGTGTCACCGACAGGACAGCCTGCAGGCACCCCACGCTGTAACCGAATGGCCCTGAAGCTCCTGATCGGGGAATGAAATGTGCCCCTATTAGTTTACCCAATGGGTCCCTTGCCCGGAAAACGAAAGGGGTTTCCTTCGTGTTCAACGGGGCGAATCACAATGCGGTCCAAAATGGAAAAGGCCAACACGAAAGAGGCGTCCATCCTTGCTCAGGATCAGCATGCGGAACAACTTGCATAAAACGGTTTTAGGCCTGCGTGCTCACATTCTTAAGAGCAAGAACACCAATGACTGGGGCTGCAGTTTCCATGACCCTGAGCGGCGTTGGCCACTGTAGCTAACACCGGGCGCCGGGCGCCTGGCGCCCGAGAACAGTCATCGTGAAATAATGCGGCCAAAGTCTTTTAAAACCAGTTGGTGCCGTTCAGAAGTTGGTTTGCAGTGCATATATCCAGTTTGAATAATTTTTTAGCTTATTCTCTGAAGAAATGGACGGCGACAGCAACATGAAAATAGAGATACTACCCCTACTTAACTAGGTTTTCCAATAAATTATTGCAACGGTGCGCAGCGCTATGAATGATAATTCGTTTATATTAAAATATGAAACTTGCACAGGTAAAACGTACTTCCGGAACGCGCTCCAAGCGTTCAAATTGATATCCTAGAACGTTCAAAAGTACTTCCTTCAGAAACGTTGTCGTTTTCGTCCACCCGTTGGCCACCGCCTAGTGTTACACGTGGAACCGACGCAGCGCAACATCGGGAGACTGCAACGCCGGGCGTCGGGGCTTTGTTGCTAGACTTACGAGTACGCACGACCAAAGCTAGGTTACTCTTTCCATTCTTGATTCCGTAGGGAAGGAATAATATAACTTCCAGGTTGGTATGCATGTAAAGTTACGATCTTATTTCGATCTAAGATCTACATTCATGACGTCCCTCTACAACCCAGAAAAATTCCGGGACAACCCCTGAGTGCTATCGGCTTAGAAAGAGTCCACCGAAACATTGTAAAATGAGAAACATCGGTATCTTTCATTCAGTTTCTTTAAATTTCAAAATACAAACAGCATTGTGTCCATTGGTGACATCTGGCTTTTAAGAACGGCAGCGCTTGCCTTGAATGCGAGCTGGCCATATCCGATGATTTCTTTCTTTGGGTGGGAGCCAAAAGAACCAAACCAAATTAACCAAACCAAACCCTCCCCGGGGGGGAGGGTTTGGTCAACGCTGTGTCTAATTCCGCCGTTACCAAGAGTCTGGCTGCGTCCTTGCGTCGGTACGCTCATTGAGCACGGAGTATGCGCATTTAAATATTATCTCATGGTAACGGAAAAGCCGACTCAATTAGCAACGCTGTTACGATCAACCTGCTTTACGCATGACATTGATATGACGGGTGTTTCATTTCTCACACGAAATGAAACGAGTGAAGGTTGCTTTGCTCACACGTTCCCGAAATGAAACGAGTGAAGGTTGCTTTCCCTTCAGAGGCACAGAAGCTGGGGACAGTGTCCTCCAGACGTATAGCTGACTTGCATTTTGTTGTCATTGAAAAGGGCGGGAAAAGGGATTCTCAACAAGAGGGCACCTGCCTGAGCGTATTTGTGGAACGGTTGAAAACCATGCCCTTCACTTATTCATGGAATGAACATGTATTTCACATGAATTCGTGAACGTTAATGCTCAGTAGAATGCACGTTTTATCGAAGAAATTTTGTGTTATTGAGAGCCTGCGTACAAATGAGTTATGATACCTACATATATTGTGGACACTGGACACCCTATTATCGTGAACAAATTAATAAATACACAAAAATTGTCATATATATATATATATATATATATATATATATATATATATATATATATATATATATATTGTTGATTGGAGTTTTAGGGCGCGTCGACTACTGCGGTCATTTTGCGCCCATAACAGCCCAATGACTAGCTTCGGAGTGTGACTATGAAATGACTAGAAAATACGTATTATTCAGAAATATAGACGGCTGAGTTGTACCAGGAGCGCGTCATTGATACGAAATTTTTGGCAGCCTAAAAACTTCCTACACGCGGTATCAACTATTCAGGCAGGCGTATATAAAGTGCAGAACTTAACATGCGATACAAACCTGAGGGTATGTTCGATATATGGTGACCTGTCACATAGTAAATCGGAGAGCGCCAGGGACGGCGTCGCCGGGCCAAAGTACCTCAGACGCTCGACGCGTAGTGTGGGGCAGCATACGAGCACATGTTCCACTGT